AGCAAACCCGGCAGTCAAATTCTTTCTAACAGTAAACAAATCCATGTTTAACCCTCCTCTTGAGGGTCAAAAGGTTATCCGACACTTACTCTTCGCATGTCATATATATGGTTTTGATTAGCATACATAGACTAGACGGAGTGGCATCCACACTAATTTCTCCTGGTATTTATTGTAATATCATTACTACGACGAAATGGTACTATTACCCATTCTCAGAGTAGGCGAAATGGGAATATTACCCATTCTGAGAGTAGACGAAATGGGAATATTACCCATTCTCAGAGTAGACGAAATGGGAGTAGGCCAACCGGGATGTTACCCATATGAAGGCATTGCCTAAGAACTGTGAGCAACTGTGTTATGTAGAAGCTTTACAGGCAAACAGGTCACGCAACACACTCGCTTCTGCTGCCATGTCACTGTCTGTTCTCCATCGATGTTCCTGATTCTCTCTTTTATCATGATTTTCCAACTGAAAGGCAACATGTCAAAACATTGGCAATGTCCAGAATATCTGATTTACATCCCTCAATTGTTTCCATCAACATAAAATAAAGATAAACTGCTCTAGAACTATATATACTACGGTGTATCACGTGAAAGACAATACATTATCATCACGAATAATCATAAATTACTATCTACCGATCATATTTACGCGTATTGTATATTCTTTTATGTTTCTATTCTTCTATTATTTTTCTAAAATTCGTAAGACACGTCTCGTGCCCACAGGCGCGTGAATCGCGGTCTCACCTTCTCGTAGATGTCATCGTTGTGTTGGAAGTCGCCCGGCTTGCGTGGCAGGATGTGCACGTGCACGTGATTCACCGTCTGTCCCGCATCTGCGCCATCCTGCCGAGCACACGTACGCATGACATCAGCACACATGACGTCAGTCACACGCACGAACATACATGTCAGCCAACACATGATATCAGTCACACGCAAGCATGTACACATAACCTCCTCATAACCTCATAAGTGTTAATCTTCAAAAGTCCTGGGGATTATAACGAAGATGGAGAGAGAAATGGATCAAGTCGGTAGATCCGCACTGCGGATCACAGCGGAAAAGGTATTTACTAAGGATGAAGGCAGTGAATTCCAATACGGAATCACAGAGACAAAGAAGCTAAACTTAAAAGGATCCTTAGAAGTTTGTACATGCCGAAAACAGTGATCACGCTCAGATGAGCGGGTGCAGCGAACAGGCTTCATTAAGCAAGTGGGAATGCCAATTTTCATCTCACCATGATAAATTTTATAGAAAGTTATGAGTTTTGAATGAAGAAAGCGGACACGAAGAGGAGGCCATTCAAGACGAGCCAAAACAACTTAGTCAGCACACGCACACATGCACACATGACGTCAGCACGTGCCTGCACGCACGCACCTCTTTGAATAAACATGTAAATATATGCATGCAACAGAGAGTAAACTATTAGCAAGACGCGTACATACAACGCCAGGTACATAAGCAGATTAGGATGCAGCACCACCAGTGCCGGATTAACCATTAAGCAGACTAAGCACGTGCTTAGGGCACCAGGGCCAAAGGGGGCACCACAAAGTTGGGAAAAGGGTGAAAAGAAAAAAAAACGAATAAAGATTTGTACTTCCCAGGTGTACCACTGCTGGCATAAACAACACTTTGTCTACAGAGCTTCAGCAGTTCCATTCATATGTTCTTCATAAGTTTAAAACAACCAAGAAAACATCTTTCACTCACGTGGAACTTTACAACACAAAACTTTACACAGAAGACAAACTAGAGAGTGCCTTTCCAAATGTTGAAATTGTCTTAAGAATATTTTTAACATTAATGGTCACCAACTGCACAACAGAGAGGTCTTCCTCACAACTGAAACGTGTAAAAAGCCCAAATAGATCAGTTATGCTTCAAGAAAGACTCGACTCACTGTGTATATCAACAATTGAAACAGTTATTCTGAGATTACTTTCGAGGATGTTATCAGTGATTTTGCAAAAATAAAATGTAGAAAAATGCCTTTCAGGTCATGAATATTGGAACGTTGAACATACATTTAACTTGTGAAATATTAAAATAGATGTTGTATTGCATTTTTGTAGAACTTTATGTAGCCCAAGCTTGGCTTAGTTTGTACAGTATATTGTGTTATCATATGAATAAATTTTTGTACTGCTGCAACCTGCATTGTATATCTGGTCAGACAGGTCAACAACTAAAATGGACTGGGTCAGTGTGGAAAGGAGGGGGGCACCAAGATTGGTCAGTGCTTAGGGCACCAGTGAGCCTTAATCCGCTGATGACCACCACCTAGGTTACATACATAACTACATACGAAGCACGTCTAGTGCACACGTTGGGCTTTCAGTGATTTAGCCACTGTTCAACAGGCGCGTAGCCAGGGTGGTCGCCCCCCCCCAAAAACGCCGGCCAAAAAAAAGAGAAGAGAAAAAAGTTAGAGGACGTAGGAAGAAAAAGGAAGAAAAAGACGAAGGCTGAAAACTCCTTGCCAGACGAGATTCCTAGAAAGACACGAGGCTGTTATAAACACCCTCTCTCTCTCTTGCCATGTCATTCGGGTGGTGGAGAATATGACGGGATGGCAAATGCCAGAAGCGAGAAGAAACGCTGCAAGTCTATTCAGAGCCATCGCTTCATTTGACTTCTTGGTGTCTCTTCACATCCTGGCGAAGGTAAGCGGAATCCTCCTCCCAGCGTCAAGAGGTATGCAGTCTGTCGGCCTAGATCTGTTAGAAGCTGTGACACTGGTGAAAGATGCTACAGATACTAATGTCATGGAGGAACGATGACACATTTGACAGTCTGTTTGCCAATGCTGAGAAGATGGCTAATGATTTGAATGTGACAGTGGAGCGCCCTAGGACTGCATCCCGTAGTGTTTATCGTCCCAATGCCACTTCTGGAGTTCAAGTTCAGAATTCGACGCAAGAGTACTACAAACTGAATGTCTTTCTCCCTCTCATCGACAATATTGTGACACATCTACAAGACCGCTTCAGTCCCACACAAAGAAAGATAATGCATTTGATGCATCTAGTTCCAGCCTACATCAGCACCTATGAAGATGTGCTTCCTGCAGCTGAGATGTATGAGAGCATGATCGACATCAGCTGTCTTGAAGGCGAGTTCGCTATATGGCTAAAGAGATGGGGTAATACAGAATCAGGAGAGAAGAAAGCTGTGAACACAGCGGTTCTTGCACTGGAAGAGTGTTCACAGATAACCCTACCCAACATCCACTTGCTCCTTCAGGTTTTGGCAACCCTGCTAGTCACAACAGCCCAGGCTGAACGAACTTTTTCAAAGTTGGAGAGAACAGCAACAGCAATACGAGCATCAATGGGGGAGGACAGGCTGGAAGCTTTACTCCTTATTCAGACTTACAGAAAGGAAACACCTTCGAGGGATGAAGTTCTAGATAAGTTCTGTTCATCACAGAGGTCCAGACGGATTCTACTTTGAGCAGCTGAGGAGAACGTAGGAATTGCTAGCCAGTATGTAGATACAACCCCGCTCCCATACCAGAAATAAGTCATAATGTGGCAAATAACGACTAAAATATTTCCTGCTAGCAATTATGGAAATCTTATGATGAAATGCCGATTGTTTGGTGATTGGTTGATTTAAACGTCAATATATTTATCACATGCATGATGCTCATTTCTGAAGATATCCTAAAAAAAATCGAAATCTGGTTTAACAATAAATCCAATATTATTTTTGAAAATTCAGGATTAAGAGTCGAGAACGGTACAACGAATCGTCTTCTTTTTCTAACAATTTAATGAAACGTCAGAGCTTCCCCCTCCCCCCTCCCTGCACCCACCCCTTAGGGAGAGCGCTCCGCGTGCTCTTTAAGTGATTTGCACACTTCACGTGCTCATTGCCGCCCCCTAAAATAAAATCCTAGTCCTAAGGATAATTTAATCTAAGTGTAAAATTACACGTAAATATTATGCGTGTGAGTCGAGATAGAGACAGCGATCGAACGAGATTGATCACAAATATATGGCCGCGAAAACAAACGAATATATGAATAAACTAAATTCATGGCATGACTGCGTAACAGAACTATCGCCACCTGCACTGCAATCGTAGCCGACGTCGCGGAGTGGTGGTTGGAGAGTTGCCGTTCTATTGTTTGTGCAGCGCTAAACATGTCGCACACTTCCGCTGACGTCAGGTCCCGAAACTTCTCTGCCGCCCTCAGTGGTGCCACCAACACATCTGATTATGCAATATCATCAAGGTCAATATACGTTAAAACTAACCATCTAGTTTTACTTACACCTGACATGTAGCAATTATAAAGAGATCACACATGGTCCATTACATATCATGCATAGTATTTGATCCATCGTGTATCTTCGCTAACTCCTGCCTGTTACAGTTTAACACGTCAAACCATCTATTTTAGCCTTTAGTACAAGATACGTCCTGGCACGACAGGTTTTCTGTTGACGAAGGCAAAGCTGTGTGTGCTTCTGTAGAACACGTGTGAGGCGTTGATCGGATGAGTGCCAAACATGTACACTTCCCTGTCTCCATCTGTAATGGACACAGACATGCAGCTTTACTACACAGCAACACAACACGCCAATTTGCTGACTGGTCATGTAGAGCACATAGATTAATAAAGATATACAGAAGTACAGGCCTTACAGACAATACAGATAAGATCATTATTGATGGCATGGCTGGCTGATGATATTTATACCACAGATAAAGTCACACTGATGGTTAATCATACCACGAGTACAAATTAAGTCACCTGGCTGGCCACTGACCTTCATTGTACAGACAAGGTTACCTGGTTGGAAGCAGCCCTTCCAGGTTATGTGACTCTGATGCCAACAAGTAGCTTACCTGGGCTGTTGGTGGCACTTACCACCCTGTACAGTGTACAGGTAAGGTGAAGCTTACCTTGGCTGCTGGTAGCAGTCAGCACCTGTACAGGTGAGGAGAAGCTTACCTGGACTGCTGTTGGCAGTCAGCACCCCGTACAGGTCGGTGCGTCTGTGCTCCATCACCGGAATCATCTCGCGCACCTGCCGAATGTAACCCTGGTCGATTTCTGCGATGGCTATGCCCGTGCCCTCATGACAGCAGCTGACCACACAGCCCCATGGATCCACCACCTACAGCATCCATGCCACGTCACATCATATCTTTTCGTATATTTCGTCATCTTCTCCTACATATCTGTCTACACAATGGCAGCTCGAGTGCCTCTACAGAAAATGTGCCTGCCTTCCAGTAAGACATTATGTAAGCATTATGTTCGAGAGTTGTGTGAATATTATGTACACGATTACATGAAGGGGAAATGCCACTGAGAAAAAATCGCCAAGTGCCTCAGCGACAATAGGTTATTTTGCACAATAAGGTAATATTTTAAGCAATAGCTGTATGTATGTTCGATGCATACCATGGCATGGCCGTAGCTGGCTCTTTTCTTGCCATGTCTGCCCATCTGCGCTGCCGCCACGACGTAGCACTGTGTTTCTATTGCTCGCGCACGCAGTAGCACCTGGGAGGCAAACACAAACACAGGTAAGCCCTGGATCACTGCATGAGCCAGCTTCTGTCGCTGCAGCCACGCCACGCGAAACACCGACACGGCATCTACCTACACATGCCTAGCTTTATCTATAGGCTTTCACTACACATGCATACACACCGATTCAAGGTTTGAACGGAATGACACCCGGTGGAATTCGCTCACACACAGTGCTCAGTAACTTTAGTGAGTAAAATTGGTACATAATTCGGCCCGTAGGGTCTATGTCTCCCTGGGTACTGCCGGAACGTACCCTGGGTACGGTCTGGTATACCGGAAGGTACCCTAGCTGGTACTATCTAATATGCCGGACCGTACTTCGCCTACTCCACTAACGAGTCTAGGGAGTCGCCTACGTCTACTCCCTAACCCTAACCCTAACCCTAACCATATCAGATAGTTACCAGGGTACGTTCCGGTATACCGAACCGTACCCAGGGTACGTTCTGGCAGTACTCAGGGAGCCATAGACCTTATCTGCCATAATTCGTTGCCGCCTGCACGAAATGGTGTTAGTTAATCTTTTGTTACACATCTAAGTCATATAAATACGACTCTAGCTCGATGAGGACTGCCTACCTCCCAGTGTGCCATGCCTGTCGTCAGAGTGAATGCAGAGGGATATGTTAAAACATCTGCACCCATGCTCCTCAGGATGAGCGACATCTCTGGGAAGCGAAGATCATAGCACTGTGTGGCATCGATAAGGAACATTGATAGGGAATATTACAATAATCGATACCAATTTTCTTTAGTTTTGAGGGCACCATTCAAATTTAGAATTCTTGAATTTGGTTTTATAGTCGCCATTCGTTTATAGTAACCGATTAGCAGAATTACCTTTCTGCAACCACAAAAATGTAAACTGGAGCCTAACGTGCAGAAATAGCCAATAAAACTAGCAAAATAACGATCACTGTATTTTTCCTCTGTATAACCTTTACACTGTGTCTACAAGGATCACCTAAGGTCTGCAACCTCATGGTGTTAGCACTATGCCAGCACTTATCTACCGCATTGTATAGACCAAGCTATTAATTAGGCCCTGCAATGGAATGATATATCTGCAAGCATTCCCCTACATTTCCCCTACCCAAAGATACAATTGCCATGCCGACTTTTCCGACGGGAGTTTGAACAGGGAGCAGGATGTCCTTTCCGGGGATAGCAACGTCAGATTCTCGTAGTCTAACACCTCCCTTGATGTCCACACTGAACAGGTGCAGCTTGCGATAGACAGAGACAACATGGCCGCTGCTATTGATGATGAGGTGAGTGATGTAGACCCTATCTGCATCAGCCGATGATCCCTGGAAAGAAATCAGTTCATCTATTGCCAGTGATATCTATTGCTAGCTCAATAGGCACCATACACATATTGCCTTCTACTAAGAGGTACCTTACCCCTTAATACTATTGACAATATAGAAATGCTTATTACAATTCAGTGATCACCAATTCATTTCTGTTAATAATATCATACAAATAATCATCCTTACTCATGCACAGACATTTGTATGAATTGAATGTATATTTGAAATGTCCGTAAAGTCATCACACATACTAGACAGCACTAACTATATTAACAATTGTAATGTATTAAGTTTTCAATAGAGTAATAGTTACCGCTGTACGGTGGCGCCGCCACCCGGTTCTACCAGAGAAATAAAAGATGGATGATTATACGACAAGCTATTGATCGAATATTAGTCCTTTACTAAGGCCGTGAGCCGGGCATAGAGCCGAGGTGCGAGGACATAACAACAATCTGTCAATTTTTTCAACACCATGCAGCATTGTTATTCATAGGGTACCTTTTCATGAATGCCTCCCACAGACAACCAAACATTGTGTTCTTTGGCCAGATTCATAAAGTGAGCGACAGTGTCTCCATCTAATGATTCAGCTTGACTTATAGTGTCACTCTTGGCCTCGCAAAGATAATCTGAGCATTCGGGCAGATAAACCATCTGAAATATAAACTCGAGCTACTAAGCAAGTTCATTGCTCCAATGATAATATCCCGTACATCCATTAAAGCAATATTACCAGTAGGCCTATTAGTATTATACAAAGATGGCGGCGGATAGCGGCAGATTTCGAAATAATGCCTTGGAAAATAAATTCACGTTTTGAGAGTTTTGATGAGCTAGAAAACACTCGTATTAGGTATGAAAATTAACATTATTGTAAACTTTACATCAGAAGACCACAAATAATTGCCTCAGCCCTCAAACAAACGCCAAAAAAGGGCTTCAACGAACGACGGCTGCCATACCTCCAGCCACTTCCTATATTGAACTTGCCTGTGCACCTTTCTTTGCTGCAGATTCTACCAGGGATGTGCATGTTGCAAGGTTGGCTTTTTTGTCAGCTGTGCTAGTCATCTGACAGATGCCAATCAGTGTCTTTTCAGGCAGTGGTAACGTGTTGCTTTTAGGCATTGTGGCCAAGGTCAGTCGTTGTCCGTTACAACCCAACGATAACGTCAGTCTGCCGCTGTAGATGTATCTCTTGAGTAAATGGACAAGTAGTTTCATGCTCGCACCTAGCTCCAAGAAACGGTCTTTGCTAGGGCTAGAAGACCTGTGTATATTGACGTTAGTCACACAGCCTGGTCGGGCTAGCTCGCACCTAGCTCCAAGAAACGGTCTTTGCTAGGGCTAGAAGACCTGTGTATATTGACGTTAGTCACACAGCCTGGTCGGGCTAGCTCGCACCTAGCTCCAAGAAACGGTCTTTGCTAGGGTTAGGAGACTTGTGTATATTGACATTAGTCACACCACAGGCAATTGGGACAGTCAGTAAAAACTGAAAATAATATGAATGCACATTCACAAAAAGGCCCTACTACCGCACGAAGGGTCGTTGTCGTAACAGGTACTACAGATATGTACCCGAGGTAGTTTTAGGTTGTTTAGTATTATGTTTATATTTTTATATGAGGTATGTTTAGGGTTAGGGTTAGGGTTAGAGTTAGGGTTAGGGTTAGGGTTAGGGTTAGGGTTAGAGTTAGGGTTAGGGTTAGGGTTAGGATTAGGGTTAGTGTTAGGGTTAGGGTACACTTCTGTAGTACAAGTCTGGTAAACTTTGTGTATACATATATGTACCTCGGGTACATATCTGTAGTACCTGTTACGACAACGACCCCTTGAGCCCTACTACCGTACCTCTCAATTACAGTTCCACTGTTGTGTCACTGTATATCAACTTTCCTTCATAAAAACTAACGCCGAACGCTCCCGCACTCGCCGCTGCGAGTGTGCTGTGTCGCCATGATAATGATAATATATATATATAAAGAAGGTAGGAAACTCCGTTTGCGCGATTTTCGACGATCACTCCTCGATTCTTTCACATTTCACAAACTTTTAACGCCTCTACGACCTCCATCTTGGGCTCGTTCTGCCCTCTCTAGTACACTGAACAAAACTATGTAACTACCGTGGCCGATAAGTGCAGCAGTCCTATGTAATCTGACTTCAAACACCGCAACAAAGTTTCTGACAAAGTTTCTGACAAAGTTTCGCGGTTCGTACCGATTCATCAAGATTGTAGACGATTCATTAATCCGATCGGCCCCGGTAGCCGAGGGCGACGCGGAGCACGATTAGCTTGTATCTTGTAACTTGTATCTTGGGGTCCCTCTCTTGTATTTCACAAGGCACAGATTCTCTTGGAATGTGCGGGGAAATCCTGTAGATAAGGAAATTCTGTCTACAAGTTAGCATTAATTAATTTACTTTCTCTAATTGATAGTGCCTTTTTAACATATTCTAGTGCTGGTTTTAGTATTTTTTTAGTGCACCCTATAGCTGCAGGCGGGACGCGTCATAAACAGCTTATCAGCCTGCAGCCAATCGCGCTCCGCGTCGCCCTCGGCTACCGGGGCCGATCGGATTCGTGAATCGTCTACACGTCTACTGTGGAGATTTCGGGGGTGTATAACTCACAGGAGCAGTAGACTAGATCAGGATGGATAGATTGAACTCGCAGTATAGATAGAATAGCCATATATATAGACTAAAGACAGGATAAAATATAGACAGCACGTAAATATCAACACCTAGGCGCGGCCATCTTGGATCAGGCTATCACCACTATCACTGCTACTGCTATGGTCGGGGAAAACAAGGAGTAAATACGCGGAAAGCGGTAACGCAAGATAAATATAATATAATAATCTGCGCGGTTAGGTACCATTAGTCAGCATAATATATGAGGAGATTTGAATAGAATGAATAGTCTAAGTTGTCGAAGAGAGGAATATTTACTTAGAAACGAGTTGCATAGGATGATGCAACCATCGTACCAGGCACGGGTTGCATAAGATGATGCAATCATCGTACCAGCCCCGGGTTGCGTCAGAGGGTGAAAGCGATTGCACCAGCGATCGAAATCTGCGTGCCAGCTAGGTATATAAGACGCGCCGAACCAAGCATCGAGAGCGTTATTTTTCAGGTTAGGTTTAGGAAGAAGGAGGAGAAGAAGAGAGCGTTATTTTTCAGTTCAGGTCTAGGTAGGAAGAAGAAGAAAAAGAAGAAGAAGAGGCAGAGGACGAAGAGAAAGAGGGAGAAAGCATTTTAGGTACCGAGGAGAGAGATAACGGAGGGACGAGAAGCACGGGTTTTCAGGAAGGAAAGAAGACTACAGGGAAAATGAGGGCTCAGCCGGGATCTTTCACTACAGGTGGAGAAGAACGGGATTTCAGCTAGGTATAAGTAGGGCCTATTTGTGAATGTGCGTTCATATTATTTTCAGTTTTTACTGACTCTGTCCCAAGTGCCTGTGAGTCACACAGCCTGGTTGGGTTAGCTCGCACTAGCTCTAGTACTATATAGCCCGCGTTCAGTAACTGCCGCAGGGCTATAGAACATTCTCGCACAGATTTCGTAACACCACCTGGTCCCGATTGGCTCCACGAAAAATGGCTCAGAAAACGCAAAATGATCAGGCTTTTTAACACTTATTTATCTACATGGACATCTCACCTATCTTTTTGAACACTTCCACAACTTTACACCATGTATTTATGCATTTATTCCTAAAAGTCTTAGCACTGCCTGTGTTTCGTTTTCAAAGGCGGTTGCTCTGCTTATGTGTACACGCGTGACGTCACCCGAAATGTGGGGGAAATGTAGACAAAACACATGGGCAGCTATGATTCAGCCTAGTACATTTCGGGTGACGTTATCCTGTGTTTGGGTTACATTATTGTATCTATAGTACTGCTGATAGGGTCTATGTCCCCCAGGGTACTGCCGGAACGTACCCTGGTAACTATCTGATATGCCGGACCGCACCTCGCTTACTCCCTACCGTAACCTGACTGTCCCTGTTCCGCCCACTATACTGATGTCGCAAAATTTGAAATATACATACAGACCTGTATGATATCTTTATAAAGTTGGATTGGAGTATGAAACTGTGAAACCAAGAAGAAATTTCAACCTATATCTACACTGATGCGCACAATTTTACTGATGTGGGTTGCAATCACATCTTTATGAGCAATCAAAACGAAGGTCACAATTATAAAAATGTGAATTTATTAGAAAAACGGAATTTTGATAACTTTGAACAAATTTGTCAGCAAAAACAGATAAATCCAAATGGCAATATCCTTGATAAAGACAAATCCTATGGTGCAAGCAAGGCCCAAAATACTGATTAATTGCAGAATGGCAGGATCATGAACTTTCTGCCTCTTACGCTGAGCTTTTTTGATATCCATGTAGGATAACAGTATGGCATCTTGTTTCACCTTATCAGTTGTCGAATACAGGAGATTAAACAAACGAGTCGGGGCGTGTACAGGATTTGTACTAGGGGGGGTCTAACCATAACCCAAACTTGCGAGCCCGGAAACCCCAGAATTTTTTTTAAATTAAACCCCCTTAGATGCGTTTTCTGCGCGAGCAGGGGGGGGGGTTGGACCCCCTGGACCCCCCCCTGTCACGCCCCTGGTGAAACGTAACAGGGTAAGGGTTACGAATATTTTGCGGGAACGGACCGGAAACAAGGAACAGGAGCATAAAGCGACACGTTTCCTGCCGACAAGCGGTATGTATTACCGGTACGACATCGGCTGAAAGTCAGGGTACGGTTTGGAGTAGGCGAGGTACGGTCCGGCATATTAGCTAGTTACCAGGGTACGTTCCGGTATATACCGGACCGTACCCAGGGTACGTTCCGGCAGTACCCTGGGGGACATAGACCGGGCCTAGCAGTATCAGCTATAGTACGAGCCCTGCCGGCCAAATCCTATTTGACAACCCCAGGTTTAAAAACCCTAACCCTAACCCTAACACTAACCAAACTCACGACATGGGTGTGTAAACGCTACTTTGACCGCCCTGCCTACCTAGCTGCAGCCACATCATGCCATGGCTGCTGGCACATTAACCCGACCAGGCTGTGTGACTAACGTCAATAGGGTATTCTAACCCTAGCAATACCGTTTCCTGGAGCTACTGGCACATTAGTCGACTCATTACACTTTACACATTACACATTAGTTTTAGTAAAGATTACATAACTATGATTCATAATACTGTAGTTTACATATAGTTTTACATAAATATATGGTATATGTAGTATTTGTTTAAGTTGTAACACCCACAAAATGCACTTGCCGGACTGTAAACTACAGTGCTCTCTGTGTCTGTTTACAAATTACATAAGGTGATTCTCGCGACTCGCGAGATAATGCGCCATATAAATGACGTCACCACCTGTATTGGTGACGTTGCGAAAGTCGTATATTTTGACTTCAAGAGTAAACGTTCCTGTCCCTGAAATCGATGGATTGTGTTACTAAATTTGTGTAATATTTTGGACATGTCTGTCACTGTTACAATGGATATGATGTACCTCTTCCCATGTCTGCCATGTGTAGCATTTATATTACTTACAGCGGTGAGTGTTAAACGTAGATGTTGCTGCAGAGTTGCTGTGATCGCCTTGGTCCGAGCCGACGCAGCACCCTATACCTCGGCTATAGGCTATACTCTATAGTAATGGACCTGAGAGGGTCTATCATCTATGTCCCCTATGGTACTGCCGGAACTAGCTCTAGTACTATAGCCCGCGTTCGATAAACTGCCGCAGGGCTATAGTACATTGTCGGCTGGGAATACGGGGCAACTACGAGCCTGTTAGCCACTGTCCCCCGAAGACGATGAAAAATGAATCGCAAACGCATAGTTATGGGGGCTTTTTAACAACTTATTTATCTACATCATGGACATCGCTCACGCTATCTTTTTGAAGGGCACTTTCAACAACTTTAGCACCGCCAATGTATTTGTTCTTTTATGTCCACAAAAGTAAGCAGGCTATAGCGGCATTTGCATTTTGACAAGAAGTGGCGTGCGCACGCGTGAGCGTTACCCGAGTATGTACGCAAAACAGCATGGCGCATTTATGGTGCATGTATTATTCAAGGGGGTGAACGGGGTGAACCTCGCGCTGATGTGCAATGGTGCGGCAGCGAGCGCTAAAAAAGAGCGGGCGAAATAGAGTCAATGGATGCAGAGAAGTGTTGCGATGGGCAGTCATCTTTTTCAAATAAGGGATTTAGCACAAAAGAAAAGGACGCGGCATTGTACAACATTACTCACGTTGCCAAGCAGCGCATCAGCGTGAGTTTACCCCCATCATCCCCTTGTTTTACGAAATAAATCCATGGCACCATAAATGGCGCATGTGTTTTGCGTACATATCCGGTAAAGTCAGCGGCGTGCCGCACGGGCCACTTGCGTTTCAAATATGAAATGCGCATAGTGCTTAGGCTTTGTGGAATAAAAGGACAAATACATGGTGTAAAGTTGTTAAGGTTCAAACCAGATAGGTAAGATGTCGCATGTAGATAAATTAAGTGTTAAAAAGTCCCCGGAATTAACTTATGCGTTTTGGGCGATTCATTTTTCGATGGGACAGGTGGTAACAGGCGCGTAGTTGGTATTTGCGCAGGGCGCGACAATGTACTATACGCGCGCTGGGCGGGCAGTTTATCGAACGGCGGGTCTAATAGTAGCTAGAGCTATGGCGGAAAACGTACGCCTTGGTACCTATCTAATATGGCCGGACCGTACCTCGGGCCTACTCCACGCTAACGAGTGCTAGGAGTCGTCCTTACGCCTACTCGCCTAAACCCTAACCGCTAAACCTATCCTAAGGGCCTAAGCCATATGGCAAGATGTGAAATAGTTAACCAGCTAGGGTAACGTAGGGGTTTTCCTGGTATACTGGACCTGTCCGCGTGGCAGGGTACGTTCCGGCAGTAACCTGGGGGAGCATAGACCCTATGAGGGCATTAATAGACAGCAGGCACTTGGAAGCGTCTCAATAAAAAAAAATAATGGTAAATCAAGCAGCAATATGTATTTCCTACCAAGTCTTAAAGACATAATAGGCGCCATGGCGATTATGCAATTTTAACGAATGCTAGAGTAACTGGGGCACCTTGTGCATGTTATACGTACAGTTACGGCTTATAGCCAAACGCGTGGATTAGTTTGTCGCAAATAGCACTGGGCTGGTTACTAAGAAATGTCTAAATTGAGAATGCCGGCAGTCGCACAGAATCAGTTGACTGAGCTTGTTTACAGTTTCGAACGGCATACTTTGAACGGTTGTGATAGGCAGATTTATAGTCACCGGACATTTTCGCATGAGCATGCAAAAAAGCGCACGGCACACACGGTATGCATTTTCGCTCTGGCGTACCGCAATGCTAGCGATAGTGCAGTACGTGGCGTATACTGTATACGTAACAGTAGGCTCTGATTGTAATGAACGTGGAAGTCCACGTACGAATCACGGACGTTCGTGATAATGAAGTAGCCGTGTGGGGGCCAAAAAAAGCTATGGGAGGATGGGCCGACCTAACGCACGGCCACAAAGTTGTAGAAAGGGCATGGAAAGGCAGACGGCACTACGCGTATTTCACGTATAATTGGTCAACGAATACACCTGTGTTCTGAAATTGCAGACATGTGGGTAGGCGCCGCGTTATATAGCAGGTGCTCACTTTTTAGCTTGTGGGCCTCAATACCGAGATAGCACCCAGAGATAGCATTCTACTAGCTCATTAGTCCCGTATATAAGCATCGCGGGAGCAAAACAATTCTGCTGCTAAAACACCCGTAGGCAACATGTGACGTTGGGGCTAAACGCGAATTCGGGGCTTTTTATTTTGCTTGGGGCATACGGCATATTTAGGCGTTGGCGCCAGATTTTTACCAGATTTAGCGGATTTCAATTAGACATTTCTTAGGGAAAAAAAGGCCGATTAGCAGTGATATTGGAGCAAGACTAATACGGCGTTATGAACTATAAGAGTAATGTACTTATTACGCTGACAGAAGGTGCGCAGTTAAAGCTGTAGGCATTCGTCCAACTTGTATAATCATGGGTCCTATTATGGGCTTTAATGTTTTGCTCTTACTCTATTTCGCATATAATGCAGCGACTGTAAATGCTGGTGAAATTGGGGCTCATGGCTGCATCACACAAGTACGTTGCACACCTGCGCTGTGGCAGCAAAGCAAGCATGAATAAGATGAGCAGGTAGGAAAGCTTGATCGCTGAAAAATTCGCTGCCGGACGCTGCGCTGTCATGTCAACACGCGTGCACAGCACGAATACACATCGAACAGCTGCGCATCTGGTATCTATGTGTACATAAATGTTAATGTTTGAATTATAACTCTTTTTTTATGCGCTTACGCTACTCGCGTCACAGATACTCAGTGAGAAATCTTGCAGGATAAATGTTTGCCCGTGAAAATGTAAAGAGGAACGAGATGTCTGTTTATTACAGAGTAATGGGGGCGGGCATTGCATGCCGGGTGAGCTGGGCTGCCTGGGGCCTCCGAGCTTCGTTTCGATGGACCGCCAGAGCCAAGCATAATGCGCGGGCGGGCAGACATCAGAAAAACCCCACCAGCACTCGACTAGCAGCCAGGGGCGTAGATAGGCGGGGGTGGGGGATCGGGGATAGGCGTGTAAATCATGCCGCCCGCCGCGCGCCTACTTTCAGGAGGAAAATGGGGGATTCAAAATTTTGTGCTCGTTGGGGGGGATGAGCCGGCCCATACTCCCACTCTGTTTCTTAAAGCCAGCCCTGCCTCGAAAACCTGCATTGGCCTCTGTCGAGCGTAACAAATTGAGGCAAGCGACACCCACTTCAAAAATCGTTCGTCGGCTCGGCTGTAGAGTACTGCTAACTAAGTTTATGAATTTTTATGAATATTTTGTATGCATATCAAAAGTCATAATTTGAAGTCCTGCTTGACAGGGGCGTAGATAGCGGGGGATGGGGTATCTCCCCCCGCCTCCACACTTATTGAGGTTGGGGTGCTTTCATCGGCCCCCTAATTTCAGAAGAAAATGGGGAAAAATTAATATATTTTAGGCAGAGCCAATAAATAACTGATATTTTCTACAAACACATTCTTTATGCCATTATAGGGAAAAGAGAGAGAAAGGAACAGAGTGAGAAAAGACAAAATTAGGCCTAGAATTCAGGCAAAATTGCAGCTTACAATATCAATTTTTCGTCAGTTCGCTGCAAAAACGGCCATTTTGAAGGTTCTAATTGGCTAAAATGCGCAAGAGGCTCTGGGGCCCGGCGCCGCCTGGATCGCCCGGCAAGGTGCTCTACGCTCTGGGGGCAGCTCTGGCTCTGACGCGCCCACGCCATTAAGGGCTTTGGGCGCGAAAAAAAAAAGAAGAAAAAGAAAAAAAAAAAGGGGCGCTCGCAGTGTGGCTCTACTCGGGCGCACGTACTCTTCATATACATTGGCGATGGAAGTAAGCAGCGAAATCATCCGCGCCCACAACTGAGGAGCGCTGTCTAGCGTTCCGCTGACTACAGTGATCGATCGAAAGTAGCGTGCGTGCGTTTAGGGATTTTCGATGATACGTCGGGCTCATTTACATTTTCACGGAGAGAAGCATTTCCTGCAGGATTTCACGAGATATCTCGGGCGGCGGGAGTAGGTAAGGACAAAGGGGGCAGAGTTATAATGTCGAACAGTGAATGTAACACAAAGATAGCGCAAGATGGAGAGGGCTGTTCGATGTGTATTCAGGCTTTCATTTTTAAGGGGCGGGCGATCGGCGCCTCGCGCTCGCATGCCGGCGCACCGCGAAATTGTGCCATGGTGCGCGGAGCATCATCGCGGGCCTGCATAAAAGTGGTTGAAATCGCGCAGCAAACAATCTGTGTATTATGTTGAAATAGCGGCTAGCATAGAATTCTCATGTAGGGGGGTACAGAAAAGGTTAGGCAACACACCAAGCAATTTGTGGTGTGTCAGTGACTGAAGCGTATGGCAGAGGTAGAGTCTGGTTACTACGGCGCCATGGGTGTATGGCAGGTGGAGGGGGGCGGGTGCGTGAGGGTGCCGTACGACGCCCCCGCAAAATTTTAAAAGGTCCACATTTTTTCGCAAAGACATTTTTTTGCGAGGCCTTTATTAGCAATGACCTAAATGAAAAGAGATCAGGTTCGGCGGCCCAGCAATGGTGCCAGAAGACTATTGCCATTGGGGGGCGTGCGCGTAATCTATGCCGCCAGATTCGCAGCAATTCTGAAAACTGAGCCTTTTTTTTAAAACCATGACAAGATAAAGACAAAAAGTTCAAAACAACTGATTT